TTTTTCCTTGAGAAAAAAGCGAGTCTAAGGGGGGAGGTGAGGTTCTCCTCAGGGCACGCCTGGGATCAGACGGAGACCTGGCACGGGCGGGGGCTGTGAATGTCTCCCTGCAAAGCCGTGTGCGTGAAAAGGATTGCAAGCTTAGTATTCGTCAGTGGGTTAGCAGATATTTAATGCTAGTTAAATAGAAAACTACTCAAACAATCAATCGATGAATATGTTACTTGAAGTTTGTAGTGTGCTTGGTAGTATAACCTAACTTTAATCTCTAATTTCAGATGCTGGGAATAGGTTCGGGGGCTAGGAGAAACATTATGTGTGTGTATAAACATATAAGTATGTATGTATAAGAAGTGTAGATTGGTACTGATGTTGCTTGGCCATGCACTGCTTTCATTTTTCAGGTTACACCTTTTCTAGGAGTGGCTGTTCGCAGCCTCTGCACATCCTCCCCTCATGAACACCCAGAACATGGAAGATTAGTTTATAAAGGAAATTTGGCAAAGGCAGTGTTAGGTATGTGACTTGAAGTGATTTGTATTGGGTTTTGTTGTTTGTTTGTTTGTTTGTTTTTAATTTAACAGTGTTAAATAACTTTAAAATGCAACATTGTAAAAGTGAATGTTCTCCTTTCCAGCTCTGCTAAAACTGGGATCTTCTGTACAGAAAAAAAAAAAAATGTTGTGGTGGTGCTTGGTTTCTGCTTCTGCACTCAGGGGTGCGGGGAGTTTGTAGGTGCTGTGCGTCTCTGTAACCCCTCAGCCTCTTTCTGTTTCTCTTGCAGCTTTTGCAGTGCGTTACCTAACCCAATAGCAAACAAAGACTAGCTGTAACTGCTATTTACATTCTATATGCTTTCAAATGTTACTGAAATGTTTCTGAAGTAGACATACTATGAAGTGCACTATCTGTAATGACACTTTGTTGATCTTTCTTTGACTAGTTAATGTTATAAAGACCTAATGAAAAGTAATCCATTGGATGTTTTCTGATACGCATTTTTGAAATGTGTCTTAAAGAAGGAGGAAATATACCTTAACATACTTAATTATCACAGTATCTTAGACTACCGGCTCTCATGGTGGCTTAGGGACTGTGAGTGATCCACAACACTGTCTACTGTCTTTCAAATTGCACACAAAATGGCTGTGGAGTACTTGTTAACATTGAATAACCTAGGTTTTTCAAGTTAGGTGTGGTGGGGGACCAAGCAAGCTTCTTTGTAATGCACACTGCAGATCAAGATTAATTGTTGATGAAGAGGGAAATTCCCAGTCATATCCATTGTATGTGTCCATGACTGGAGTCAAGTTTCTTTTGAAATCAGTTTCCTATCTGTGAAGTGAAAACTTCATAGGTGCGCATAATAGCTAGTAGCTGACTTCATCATAGAAGTAGAGCCAGCTACCAGCTTTGGTGAACCCAGCATGAACATACAACAAACCAGAACAGTGATAAGAAGGCAGGGTTGAACTTTCAATGATTTGTGTATGAGCTTAAAAAAAAAAAAAGGCGGGGGAAGTGAATTTTCAGTAACTTCAGCTGTTCAAGTAATGCCATCAATATATAGTAGCAGAACATATGTAATTGTAGAGATAATTTTGCTTAGAAGTATTAACCTTTGTTTTCATTTTGTTTTGTGTTGTGTAGGTGTGAGGTTTTTCTCTTACTCCACCAGCATATTCAACCTGTTCATGATGCCGTACATCATGCTCAAAACTGGTATTGGATTTGAAAGCCTGTTTATACAAGCTGCCTTCTATGGGTTGATCGGGTTTTTTACTTTTGTAACACCGGTTACTTTGCATGTCCTTACAAAAGGCTACGTGATTCGACTCTATTACAAAGATGAAATGGACACCTATACAGCCATTACATACAATGCGATCTTGGCAGAAAAAGCAACTGTTTTCCATCAGAAAGATGTAAAGATTCCAGACATCACCAAGATGTTTACAACATTTTACGCCAAAACGAAATCAATGCTTGTAAATCCAACGCTTTTCCCAAATCCTCAGGATTATAACCATCTTATGGGCTATGACAAATCCCTTTATTTTAACTTAGAGGAGGAGGAGAAGGAAGCTGATGAAAGGAAATAATTTGAAGATAATGAACGTCACTATCATTGTCCGTGGTGTGGCTATATATGTGAAAGAATGTAAAATTCTATTACACTTTCTTAAGTATCAGATAGCTAGAGTTCCCCAAATGCACTTTGGAATGTATTAAAAAACTCCATTTTTTTTAAACTTGTAAACAATGTGAGGGTTTTCTTCAGAGTTAATGACACAAAACATAGTAAAAATATACACTTAGATCTGTCTTGTGCTTGTTTATTCTTGGCTTGGTTTTGTTGTTAACTGTCCAGGAGAACTGTAAAATGCATGGGCTCTGTGGCAATCTCACCATCTCCATTTTAAAAGGAGCCATTCATACAAAAAATCGTCAGTACTCATTACCTGTCAAGTACATAATTAAGCTTTTAAGTCTTAAAGATTTATTGTACTTAATGCAAAAAGATCAGGCTTTTCCTTGATTGTGCTGGTGGTACAAAGGGAGTGGCGATGGCTTTCCCTTCCCTTCCCTTTGTGACAGTAGTGGTAGCCAGGAGGAGCCTTCAGAAAGCTGACAGGTATTGTTGCTAGCAGGATACCGCAATAATCTCTATTTACTCCCAGCTACTCACTAGTTTCTTAAGCTAGAGTCCCACTCCCAGCAACCCTGTCCCCAGAGGTGGAGAACAAGAAGCTGCTTTTCTTGGGCGGGGGGAAGCACCTTAGTGTAAGATTTGCTCTGTGAATATCCCATCAAAAACTTGCTGTATTTGAATCGACTTAAAGAAAATACTAGCAGCTACTGGTTGGAATGAATCTCAGTTTTAAGATGGGGAAGCAAAAGGGAATCTCCTGTAGAGTACTGTTTAGATCTTGTGCCTTTAAAAAACATACCTCTTGATTTTTTAGCACTGCAAAGAAAGCCATGTTTAGCTCAAGTAAAAAGAGGATTAGATCTTTTTGCGTGACTAGACTGGTTAAATTAGTTCTGCGTTCTAAGTATGCGGAAATGTATTTAAATGTTTTTAGCCCAAGGAGAGGTTTATCATGTAAACTGACAGATACTTGTTTTCAAACAATGAAAGGCCTAAATATTTTGAGGCTTAAAAATTACTGACTTGAAAAAAAAAGAAAATTAAAATGAATAATTTTCTATTAGCAGTTCACATTGTAATAAATAAATCTGATGCTTGCTACTAATTAAGTCAGCCTGATACTGCAAATAAAGAAAAAAATAATTATAGCTACTTTTACAGGTGTTTCCTAAGTTCTAAAAAAAAAGCATTTAAAAGCCTGCCTGTCTTCCAAGACTATTATTTTAGTTTCCTGTCAGAGGGTGACACTATAGATCATATTAAAACATCAGTGGTTTTAATTGTTGTTGTTCTGACTGTTGAAACAGCTCTTGATGTACTTACTGAGTAATAATAATCCCATTCAGGTATTTTTTAGGCAATTATTTTGTGTTGCCACAGCGTGATTTTGCCCCATTAAGCCAGTATCACTTTATAGGTAACAATTATATAAAAAAAGTTTCCATAAATTATATTGATGTGAGGCCAGTGACGAGCGATTCTGATTACCTGGTCGTACTACTCATCCTTATTGAATTGATGTTTTACAACTAATTAAAAATAATCTTTCCATTCTTTCTGTTTCTGGTGCATTTGCTCTCTTCTTTTTGTGCTTGTGGATAAAGTTAACTTCATATTTAAATCCCAAATACAGGGAGAACAGGCAAGAGAAGGTAAAGGAGAGGCCCCAAAATTATATTTGTGTACCCGTTGAGCTAGATCAAAATCCTCAGCCTTTTCTTCTAACCACAGAAGACTTTCACTGTTAAATTTGAAATTTGGCAGATTTGGATTTAAGCAGCGATAGTAAGAGATATCCATCCCAGTGGCGAAGTTTCTCAAAAAAAGTATGGAAATTAAACATTATTTCTTCTGTTTGTCTTCTGGCAGTGAAATGCAAATTAAGCTAGTAGGGGGCTTTTGCCACATAGATGATTTTAAAAAAATAATTTAAAAATACGGATTTCTACCAGGAGGTAGATGATGATTCTGGTCATGATGTAGTCTCAGAAAAGTATTCTATATTTCCATTGTACAGCTTGGAAAGAATAATAATTCCGTAGATTTCTTTTAATAGTACTTTCCTATTAAAGGGAAGACCAAACTTAAGTAGAGATGCACAATATTCTACCTGCTTCTACCTTGTTTGCTGCTAACTTGGCAAACACAGTTTGGGAGGCAACTGCGTTGTAAATGTTAAAACCATAATATGTGTTCTGGTTGCCATATAAGTATGGCTGTGGCCCCATCCCCATTAGGGTTTCCACCTCTGCCCATCCTTGTGTATCATCCCAGGGTTCTCAGAATGGACTTTTCTGCAATTTTTACTTGCCGTGTGTACTTGCACGTACGTGACTGGTTTAGATCCCTGGAACTTGTTGAGAGCGGTAGAGACTAGAATTCAAACAACTGTAGTTTGTTCTTCATGTTAGAAACAGAATAAAGGAAGGGAAATGTGATCCCAAAAGACATCTAGATGCATTTCCGTTTTACTTTGGGTTCTGGACAGTCTGTCTTAATACAGATATTTCACCAAGTGCATTTCCAGGTGGGAAAATCTGAAAATCTTGGTGTTCTCCTAAGCTAGGAAACATGCATAAACCAAACTAGGCCCTCTTGCTACTAAGAAATCCTGCAGGAGAATTGACTGTAGCGTGTGTGTTTTAATGAACAGCTTGCTGTCAAATAATTCCCAAAGCATGGGAATTACTCCTCCACATCCTTCACAATCCTATTAGTTTTGTGAACTACTATTTTCTTCTAGTTTATTTGTCTTCGTTTTTACAGACTTGGTGAAAAACTGTTTGAATTGCCGAAGTATTACTACCTGCTAACATTTTCACCCCTGGAAGTTGCTAATGTTTCTTTGGGTGTAGGTAACTTGTGTATGAACGGCACGGAAGAAACAATTAATTTATAAGATCGAGAGAATATGGTTGTACGCATGGAGATTCTGAAGGGAATTCTGGCGTAGAAGCCCAGTTTTCTAAAATACGCGATTTACAAGCTGCCCTATTTGCAAGACTACACCTATGGAGGCTGCCAGCTCCTGCAGCCTTCCAGTGCCAACTGGCCGCTTGTCACCTGGGTCTCGCATCTTAACCCTGGTACCACCTTCACTCAAACTGCTGTGAAGAGCAGGAGTGTATGAAATGGCTCAAGCCTCTTTCCTAGACAATTGCTTCCTATCCCTTTGCACCCTTATGAGCTTCCATGAAAGGTCATAGATGACTGCTTTATTTCCTAGGAAAACAGACAGGACACATGCAAATTTTTCTTTTCAGTCTTTGACTACATGCTATTTTCTTGCCAGTGTCCCTCTCCTTTTTTTCTCAAGTTTTTGGCTTTGTCCACAATATTATTCATTAGTCCCTGCCTGTTCTTAATTATAAGGTACAGTGCTTCTTGTCATTCTTTAATGTTATTTTTTAAATTAAATTATCCCACAACTCTCAGCCTTTTCTTGCAAATGTAAAAAATTCTGATGAGAAAATTATCCCCTTTTGATACTTTAAAGAGAAATCTTTAAAGCTCTGAGGTACTTCACACTCTTAATCACACTCTTAGAATCAAAAGATAAGTAATTTCACTAGAGGTTGTTTTATTACAAACCAAAGTCATCACATTGGCAAAGATGAAGAAAATCTGAGTAGATTTTTGCACGGTACTGTGAGAGCCTAGTTTAGGTGATGGAAACTTCATGAAATTCTGTTTGTGCTGTAAAAATTAAGAGCGCACATGTGAATTATTACAATTGCTCAGTATAACTTTAATAGGTGGAAACTTGGTAAGCTGCTGCAATTCGGTTGCCCTGGAATCCTGTGGTCATACCACAGATTTCTTCATGCCCCCATGTACAACACAGCCTGGGTGCAGCCCCCCTGAGAAATGGGACAAGCGTGCTAGCTAGGAGTTGGATCCACTATAATAAGATTATCCCCCAGCTATACTGACCTCAGCTAGCAGCTATTTTAAGCAGGGAAGAACAGAGAACAAGAGCAAATGGCCACAAACCATGTCCAGCTGTCTCCATTTCTGGAATACCAGGGTGGACAGCATTGCTGTGGTGTGCTTTCTGTCAGCCTCAGGTAGGACGCAGCCCTTTCTGCTCCCTTCGCCCTCTGCTTTCTCTTCTTCTTGACAACTTTAATGGTTTAATGTATACTTTAGAGTATCACTATAAGCTTTAATCCTAAACTTGGCTTGGAAAGAATAAACCATAAGCCTACTGGCAACAGGCAGAGTTATTTCCAAGATAATTGTTTCCACAGGATACCACCTGGTGTGTGTTTGCTTCACTTTAATAGCCTCCAATGGTTTAATGTGATCTGTTCAAATCAAACCACTAAGCTGAAGTGTATGCAACATTTAAAAAATATATTCAGAATAACTCACATCGCTCTTTTTCTTTCTTTCCACAACTGTTTTCTTGCTTACTCAAATGTTACCAGCTCACCACTGGATCTCTGCTGGTGCGCTGCTCTTGGGTCGGACCCCCCCCCGGCACCCTCAAACACTTCAGCAGCTGCATGTAGAGAAGCTGGAGCCTCTACCTCTTTCTAGCATCCCTGGGCTTGACTTTCTACTCCCACTGTAAACATTGTCAAAGATGGGATGAGAGGGTTTGGAAAGAGAGATTTACCCATGAATTGCTACAATTTTCTATTCTTCATGTTGATTGCCAAGTGTGTTTTTGTGAACACGTGCCTTATGGTTATATATAGCCCCTTTATACTGGAGTGTCTTCAGCAGCAACCCTAAACCCAAGATCAGAAGTAATAAACTGCCTGCTTCCAGCTGCAAAAAGGTCTACTTCAAAAACTGTCACAAATGGTCCTGCAAGGAAAATGAAATTATTATTGCCTCTTTCTTTATTGAATAAATGTGTTTAACATCTTAAAAGAGTTTTCCATTAACATGAGGTTTTTGTACATGCCAAGAACTAGGACATAATTTTTAATTCTGTCTGACTAACACTTTGAAATGGAGTACTTTCCTCTGCTGTACTGGTATACTGTTATTTATTTTTCTGTGATGGGATA